GTCACAAAATGTGGTAATATATTCCGAAAGCTCGTAAATATGTAATCAAATATTATGAATTGAATTATCTCAAAAATATCGATATAACAGGCACATGAGTTCAATCTGTTGTTGGTGTTTGTCACTTCAAATTTGGGGAAACTAACAACGACAGAATGATTTATTGTATTTTAAATTATGCTATCATGTATTTCAACCTCTTTTTCTTTAAAAACAAATTAGAAATATAATTTATATAATTTAACTGAACATAGACCAGACTTGTACTTGGATCACCCATCCTTGTAAACTACTATGGTTTGCAGGAATATGAATCGAAGCCTGTAGGTTTTCGTAAATGTCACAGTCGCCCTGGAAAACGAATGGTGCTGTGATTGGTAAACTGTCACCCAGATTCAGAAGAACGCACACAATAAGAAACATCATTTTCATGAACTTATTCACCTATATCATAGCTTGCAATTATAACACTGTCAACCTCAGCTCCCAAAACACTTACAAAAACGCTCGTAATCTCAACTTCTAAAGTACTGACAACAAAATCATAAATTATGTACTTTTTATTACAGAGGAAGTGAACTTTAAATAATTGGTCTACTAGTATTATAATTATCATAGCAGTATTCCTCTTAACTTTCAAAGCTAACAATGCGATATTCCATTTAATCTATGAACATTTTTGGAGTTGGTTTCTGGTGTAGTCGACTATTTGAATTTAACACTATGCAGGATTGAATCGAACGGATGCACCTTGCCAGAGATCACAGCGCCAAATCACTTGACTAACCTCAAATAATACATCTATTGAACTCTTACCGCCCGTTTTCCTGTTGGTACGTGAGCGCATATATGTTGAGAAATGTTAGTTTGATTAAATTTTGAATAGAAAATTACACTACAGACCCATGCCGTTATTCGATGTTTTTTTTACGATATTCTTTTATTGCATCGATAATTTCTACATCATTTTAGATTAATTTCACTTCACTGAGTGCAGTAATAATTATTTGCCATTTAAATTCACTCCAGATCATCAGATGGAAACCATAAGACTTTTTTATTTGCTTTTAGTATAGTCAATTCATGTTCCAGGGCCACTTGGTTAAGCCGTGCGTTATCAGCCAATATACCATTAATTGCATATGCAAATTTGGTGTTTGGACCAATCAAATCATTTCCCCATAACATCATCCACAGATCAACTACTCGCGGCGTTCGTCAGAATATAAAAAATAGTAAGGTGCATTGTATCAACACAGGTGGCGCTATTCAGCACGTTGGTTTGCGGCGATCTGCGTGTCAATGAGTAAGGTGATATATCTGCTGAGCATGCGCATTACATTCAATTGAGTGTTTTGAAAGGGAAACGTTTCTCGGCAGCTCACTTGTGGGGAAGGACAGAAGTTTTCTTCTTAAATGTAGCTTTGAAGATTGCACGAATACTATTTTTAATTGATTAATATAGTGAATATTATATATCTATTTTCCATAATAATTAATGTTAAGCGTTTCCATTAAAATCTAGAAAAATAACATGTCACATACTTCCATAAAACTTAGTGCATAGATGATACCTGGTTAGTTTGAGGTTGAATTGCGTGCATATTAATTACATTTGAAGCTTTTTATTAGATGTCTACCAACCTGGTGCAGAGAGCTGTTTTAGACAATCTCCAGAGCTGCTTAGTTTAGGGTTGAAATCGATGCTTAATAAATTAACATAATTATCAGAAAGTATAGTGACACTATAATGTAAATATTTTATCCAATGAAAACGCACGTGGAGATGATCCTCTCTATAAGTCTCAGCAGCATGACGGGGATCCGCATCTTGTCATTAAAAATAGTAGTCAACAGTAACATCGCCTGTTTCCGTACTTCGTAAGAGCACATGGTTCTCTTCCACATCGACAGAAATGCATCACCTGTAAAGAACATGATTAAACATGAAGTTATTTTATTAAATCAACCCTTGGGCAGATTGGATTAGTTCATATCTGACTGAATATATCGAATGTTTAATGTTGAGTTATTAAACTCTGAAAATAAATACAAATACAAATATAAGCATGCAAATGTATTGTTTATAAATATGTTATTAATACAGACATTCCAATTATAACTTTATTTAAGTTCAATCACGAGCAACTAGTGACATGGTAACATTTTCCCATGATAAAGGAACTAATTCAATTGTCAAACCGCACCGTGCGTTCCAAATTTTCAAGAACTGATAGGCTACAAAAAAAGGTAATCGGTTTAGTACGATTTTAATTCTAAATTGTCAAAATACTGTATTTAACATCATAACACAGATGTTGTAATCAGATTGATCGTGATAGGCATTTACATTTATTGTATTTATCTGTTTACATAATTTCCTGTGATATACGTTAACCCCTAAATTTTGCTCTGAAAGTATATCTATAAATAGACGTGTTACTGATATGAAATCGATTCTAGCGTGATAATTCATAGTACACTCGTGGCAGAAAACACAACTTTATTACGCAGTACAAATTTCAACTAAAGACTTTTCCTCTTAGGATGTAGAATAAATAAGAGGCGAAACCGTTTTTAAGAGCCAGTGTTGTACATTGCGTTACTATATATACTGCAAATTACACAGTCATTCGCCGTGGAGTAACATTGGCATTGTCTACAACTGACATGCAAATGAGATAAAATAGTCCCTTCCAAAGTTGAGCTTTCTCAAGTTGGATTTGGCACCTAACAGTTCTCGACCATACATGAAAATCAATGACCATACAAAGTCAACCAATGTCGGGGTTATGTGCCACTAACCACAGCCCCTCTGTGCACTAACTAACTGTTTTTTTTAATCAGTTGAATCAGCGCTTTATAAACAAACCGTGCAAGCTTTGAAAAGCATCGAATACCCGGATGGAAAGAGAATGACAATGTCTCAGTCGCGGCAATGATACTCTCCGGATGTCGAGTGTCGGTCAGCCTTTCAGTGTCATTAAGAGTCATTTCTTTTTGATATTGATGTCAAAACTATATACGTATAAGAAGCCTTGTGTCACAATTAATATCCATGGGATACTAGTATATTGAATTGTTATTTAGAAAAAAACGCTTGAATTTTGGTGTGTTAGTTGCACTTGTTGGTCGGCATTTAATCGCTAACACAACAACACTGCAACAATGAACGCTGGACCAACCAATCAATGGTCAGAATTTACAATTGCTAAATGCCCTTGTGCGCCCTAATAAGAACATCTTAGGTAAAGTGGTTATGACTTTCTATGTGTTTTTGTGATGTTCGTCATACTCGTGATACAGTGTATCCTTGCTGTGTTTTCTCGACCGAAGACGATGTACCCTAGTCACGAATCACATTCCCACAAAGATAAACCTTTTCTCCGCGTCGTAATGACTAAAGTGACGTCACAATGTGTTAAATAGTGCAATTACCTGTATACGAATCGACAAAGAATAATACGTTCATCATTGTCAGGGCTTGGTTCTCGTAAACTGTAAGATCCCGAATGAATGGCGGGTGGTCTCCATCTCTGAGGAGTCGTTTCGGGAGAGACATCTCCTCGAAAAAGTGTGTGTATGTACAGTTAGTGATAAATCGGAGAGCAGCGAGATACTCGACAAAATGTGCCCATCCACGTCCAAACTTCTGTTCTGCAAGTGGATACCCGGAAAGAAGATCTGCGGATATCTCATAAGCAGGCTCTATGGTAGCTTGATGAGCGTCCCACATATAGTACAGTAAATAGTCTAGTTGCGCTGCGTCCATGGGAGTACAATGGCCCTCGCGGCAAGTAATGTGTATCATATGCTGGTAAAATTCAGTCCATTTTTGAAACGTTTCTGGAATTAATTCACGACAAGAAGCAATACTATTGCAGTATTGATCAGCGCGCCCACTAGGTTTTAACAATTTAAGTTGCAGTCCCTCGAGGTCAATGACACCTGCTTCAACAGCGCCAAGGAATGGAATAACTGACAGGTAGTAGTTCATACTGGCCCAATAGCTGTTATGCGATACGTAGAACTTGTCTTCTTGATCACTTTGTAAATTGAATGGATCGTCCAGACGACGTGTTGAGAACTGCCATCCAAATTGGAGTGGAAGGCCCCAAAGAATGTTGCCTAAATTACGAGGCCCGAAGTCACGCATGTATTTTTCGGTGGATTTCAACAATATTTTATACAGACCCATACGTTGTAAGTAGTTCCAGGGATCGACAGTTACAGTCCCGTTAATTACGTCGTAATCTGTAATACGTACAGGTACTTGGTCCCAGAATGGAGACGCACTTTCACAGGCGTGGGTAGTTTCACTAACCTTTAAATAGCAACTTTCCCGCCCAGAATCACATGCTTGAATTCCGGCGTAACTTTCAACGCTTTTTACAATGTACAACAGGCAGAAGAAGCTTACAAATTTCAACGTTGAGTGATCCATGATTTAGACGTTTATCGTATCTATAGTATAATATCAGTGCCCGTCTGTTGACCTTGGGTCCGTTCACATGTCTACACTAAGCACATACAATTGGTAAGATAAAGCCCGGGTTACAAATTGACAAAGATTTTATATTATATGCTGTTATCCGATTAACAATCAAAGCCTCAAACGGTGGCAGCGGAACCCAGTTTTATGCATTCAATCACACGTGATTAGGCGACCTTTAATGATCAGTGCAACAGTGAGATATTACACTTGCGCATAAAAATGAGGTCGGATGAGCCACCCCATAGGCGCCAAGTTATATGATATTTGAAAGGAAGAAAATCCAAAATAACGACCAAATCACGTGACTGATCAAAATTATTTGGGGTCGTTGATTACAAAAACAAAAGGAAAAGTAACTGGGACTCACCCATCGTACCGCTGCCAATAAGGTCAAAGTTGTTTTGGGTATACAGGTATATTTTTTCTCTTTGAGAATTATGCCTCCGTTCTAATTAGAACAATCATTAAATTGACACTTTGTCGGTCGTGGACAATTAATGATATTCATCATAAACAACATTTATAGCCCTAGTCTTTGCTCCCCAAAATATATGAGAGAGAAAGTATAAAAATACGAGTTGGATCAAACCCTGCTTTTTTATGTTTCGCCAAAAATGAAGACTGTTCTTCAGAGTTGTGCTTTGATTTTCTACACAGAGCACAGTGGTCATACAATGAAATGATTCTTATCTCACAGCTTCAATGGTCCATGGCCATGATGAGTAAGAACACTGTATTGGTGGTGAAATGTTCGAGTGTTTCTGTTTAACAGTTTTGAAAATCTTACACAGTGAGTTTGGTACTAGACCGATTTTCCAATCAATATACCCTCTCGGGGTTCACTTAATCAGTTCCTGTTTGAAATAGCTTTTGAACAAATCTGTCTGTGAATCCGTTCCTAGATCAGTGTATGTGCAGTATATTTGGCCTATACTAGTCATGAATCCTTAAATTACTATGGGCGAAAGATCCTTTGTATGAAACAACTAATAAAAGACATTTGCTATTAGAAACATTGATATATTCGTCTGATGCTCACCACATCATTCATGGAACCATTGCCATCTATAACTCATAGAAGGTAAGCGTGTTGTTATGCTAGGTCTGGTGATATTATCTGACATTCAGCTAGAAAATCCGTTTATAGTTGCCAATTGCTGGAGAGCCTCCAGTCGAGTAATTGAAACTTGGGCAGACTCATGAGGAGAACATTGTGCCCTTGAATCAGTAGTGATGATGTCACACCTATAAATGTAGTGACGAAAATGGTTTTAACAGTCTACCCGAGTCTGTACTTTGTTATTAGGAGAAGTGCTGTGAGAGTGTGGTATGCAATTCACCAGTCTAATTATAGCAATGACACATTACGTCAACAGCCAGGTTGTCAGTCCTCGACCTTTGCATAAAGACGTCCAATACGCGGGAACCAGAGTTAGCGGGACCAGCGCAATATAAACGTGACCTTGATAATGGGATTGTGTTTTCCCAAGATATTTAGCTTCATTTTTGCACTAACGTTATGTAATTGAAACACAAGACAAAAGTATTAGATGGATTACAAAAGAGGACATAGTTAATTTGGGCAAATGATTTGCTTGAGCCATTGGTAAATTTATGGAATTGATTTTGCTGTGACAATGTATACATGTATGAACAATTATGTGAATATGGTGTTGTGTGTGAAGTAGATGATGTCTTAAGTCTTTTGGTTATGTTATTTGAATCAAGAGGGGGAGGTTAAAGTACTTGACCGATAAGAATGATTATATTTGTTCTTTGGCAGTGAATGGTTTATTTGTACTTGACTGTGACCCACCCACCACTCGATTGTAATTTGGCCAGATACTATTAGACATCACTAGCATGACTAGTTAGAAGACAACCGTGTAAAAATAGTGTGAATAAAATAATCGTATGTAATGAACAAGGAAATAATAAAGTTTATATTTTTTATCTTAACCAACAATAAGTTTACAAAAAAACATTCGAGTAAGAATAAAGTAAAAATAATTGTCAAGTTTAACCAATAGGAGATACAGGTGATGGTTGAATTATCTCGCCTGGGAGAAAATAAAAAACAAGTGGTAAGGATTATATATTGTAATGAATGATTTGAGTAAGGTGTTGAGTAGAGTAATGTTCAATAGGAAGAACATTGTTGAAATAGATAATGCTTTGGAAATGATTGGACTTCCATAATTAAATCTTGAGGCATGCATTGTAAATAACTGCCAGTGGTGAGAGGATGCTGAAAGCACTACCGTGCATTCAAGCATCCTCTCAATGAAAACACAGGTTATGCACATTTACATTATAATGAGGTAACTTAGTGTTGTAAAAAGAGTGTTATGATTAAATCTGGTATGATGTGCATGAAACGACTCATGGTGCAAAAGCGCACAAGTGTTGACGGAAGACCCAAATGATAGGTATCACCACCGACAACCAATTTGGTAGTAGTCATATTGCCGAAAATACTATATCTTGTTGTTTTAAATAAGTATATGTGCAGCAACAAAAAACTGTACAAAACCAGTAGTTAACTGTTTACAACGTTGTACAAGACAGTATTATAGACCCATATCATGCAAAGTTACAGGGTGACGAACAAATATACCCCCTTACTTTTAGGCTATTGTATGTTCATAAATCTGTCCATTCAGAATGAATAGGAAATAAAGTAGGTGCACAGATACTATATGAAATATAATTGTACTTCATAGGGATATCATTGATGATATCAATCCCATCAGACTGATAGAACCCATAAAATTAATGAATTTATCGCATGGCAATGGCAATGTGCCGTCTGACATATAACCAGAGTAAATTGACCATATGCAAAGACAGCATTGTTGGTTTGCATAAGACAGCCCACACACATGCTATAAGGAGTAAAATCCTTGTATCACCAATGACAGGGTTGTAAATGAGTCAACATCAAACCAGAAACATAGAATGTAAATGCATGGACCTGTTTGTACAGAATACCAGTTCATCCCTCATTATTTATGTGGACCATGTTAAAAAGATCTCAAACTATATTGGGTAGTTAGGCAGGAATTTTATTATTTTAGGTTTTTTTCCCCAACATGTTCAGTCTATATCAAATACAATCATTTTAAGCAATTTGTTTTCACATGATGATATTAATATCAACTTTTGTTGATTTTAGAAAAGATTTGGCCTTAATAACAAATGACAACACAGGTGAGTGGCATGAAATGTTGATCGGTGGCACCATTTCAAGAATGACAGCTGGTGACACCAAAAGTTTCACTGATGTACGTGTGTATGTAGACATCAGCATAAGGAATTGGCCCCTATCAGTTTCTGCCTAATAAATATATAAATTCATATATATATACAGATATATACATTCCTGCTGTAGCCATTTACCTACAATAGCAACATCACAAGCATGATAAGAGCATTTCTGATGTACGCATTGCAGCCCTTGCTGTTTCTTGCATGTGACAAAAATCCGTCTAAATCACAAGAAAATTGTAGTGGGCCAAACAATGGTCATGAAAAAGTACGAATGGGTACAGCCAACCATGCCAATGTGGTGAATGAAATGCAATTTCTTGCATGAGTTTCTGCTCAATATTATACAGTGTGTGGTAGCCTATGCCGAGTAATCAATGGCGTGGTCACAAATGATCATGAAGATTAATCATGATCATGTGATAGGTATTTTTGATGGTTAAAAACCTTTCACTTAGGTAACCGGGATTCGGTCGTTTCCACGCTAGGCTGACAAAAGACACACACGAACTCCATTCATGTTCCCAAAACGATTCTCTGCCAAGTCCCTGGTTTTCACCCGAGACAGCATTAAATCACTCTTTATTTCTTGTCACTCCTTAACCAATTACAATCAGTATAAGAGACTCCAAGGCCTTGCCTTCAAACAAACAACCAATCACATGAAAGTTTTACACATCATAATCAATTAATTACTCGTCAAGCTGTCTAGAAAAACACTACTATATATTGTCAACACTAACTAATATTTATGGGGTAATAGTCTTGCACTAACATTCCACAAAGATACCGCCTTAGTTAGAATCGCAAACAAAATTGGTTTAGGATTACAGCTACTGTATTGTATCTTAAAAACTGCAGAGTCATAAGATGTTTTTGGTTGATTTCGACCAGCTCGCCATCTGGTCTTGTCATTAACCTTTATCAGTATATGTCATGGCAACCACTGTCAAACTGACTGAAATATAAATCATGACAATCACATACTTCATAGACACTGTAACATTACAATAATATTGCTGGCTGCATAGACCAGACGATTAATGTACAAGTATTTACACATATGGGCCTTATTTCGGTTTTAGTGCTATTTTATTGAAATGCATCGTGACAACTGTGGCCGTGAAGGACCGGTAGGTAAGGTAATTGTTACTAGTCGCACTGTGCATGTGCACATATGAGTTCATAGGCCTAGTGAATCGCTGTCATCATTTATGTACGATGCAATATTTGGTGATTTATTAGATTCCCTGATTCATGACATCATGTGCCAATAAATCCTGAAAATCGGCTGTGCTAAGCGATGAGTCGTTTAGTTTAAAACACTGAATGATCATAGCATGGTGTGCAGAGTTTTACATATAAAGCAATTGTTCAGAATATATTAAAATTCGTGGAAAAGGGCAAGAGCTCTTATCTTTAGGCAATGTCGGTACGGCGTCCTCGTCTGGCTGGCAAAATTAAAATAATAATGCGAATACGTGTACAGTAGAAAATTTCCATGACGCTGCATTGCGTGCGTAGAGTCGACGTCACGATTTTTGCGTATCAATTTTTCTCCGCTTTTTTCAACAAATAATTCACTTTTTTTCTCCCGGGAAAACGTCGTCAATCTTATTTTATTAACCTGAACTTTGTCTTGACAGCGCAAATTACACCTAAATAAGCGTCTTTGGTTGATT